TCCACAGCATAATGAAATGTACAGTATCTTCAACTAATATTCCACAACAGTAACCAGATGGTATCCTGTGGGATATCCTACCTCAGCACCAAGGTCTGGATAAGGAGAGAAGTGAAATATGGCTTCTCTATTGGAAGCTCCAGTAAAAGAATTCTCTATCTAGAACACTTTAGATTGTTTCACCTGGTGTGATTGTGTTTGGGACCACTCCCCTCCTTGAACTCAACAGTAATGATAAGACACTAAGTGTTTGGAAATACCCACAGAAACCACAGATACAAGGCCTCTAACATAATGGGATTAAGAAACCACAGCAGGCCAGGGTCATTTATGGTAACTTAAGATCCATGTCCAAACTGAACCTGGATCTTAGAAACTGTCTAAATGTGAGGCAGAGCCTGTTGGAACTAGCTGGTGCCCCTGACCTTGGTTGAAATACATAGCATCCCAGTCAAGGTCCCTTTCGTTACTCAGTTAGTTCTGGGCCTGCCTGTCAAAGTTGCTGTGAGCATGAACATTGCTTTTCCTAAATTCTTATTGGTAAGTTTGGCACACTGTCAGCACATAGTAAGAAGGTGGCTACCAGAGTTCAGCAAACAGGTAGAAGTTGAGGAACTGCTCTGGGAGACTTTCAGGGTAAAATTAACAGTCCTTTGTAGTCAGACCTGTGGAGTGCCAGAGAGAATTCCACAGAGGACACAGTTACAATCCCAAACCTTCCTGCATCTGGTAACATGTTTACTCACCTGAAGCCTCCAGCAGCATACCTAAAGGGCAGCTGTGGCTAGGATGTAAGCCATGCAGTCTAACAGCCTCTGAGGTGCCCCGAATGCCTGTGAGAGTCCAGACTGGTTACGGAGCAAGCTTGGGTAGACTTCATAAGGGTTCTGTGTGAAAAAATATTCCTGTCACTTCTTAGAGCTCACCTGTGCCCACTAATTACTCTGTTTCCTGAGAGATGTAGCCTTACCTTTACACATGTAAATATTCATAATGGCTCTTTTTTTTGTAAATGGCTCTTTCCCTAGCCCCTCTCATTTGGCACCCTTATATGCCTCCATTGTACCATCCCACATACTTGATAACATTTGTGTCCATTGTCCATCTCTGTCTGCCCCACTTTCCTATGAATTCCTAAGGATGCAATTATATATGAGGATCTGTGTCTGGCCCAGGCTAGGTGATTAATTAATATTGACTGCATGGATTCAGGGGTAGACAGATAGGGACCCATGTGCATGTGGGGCTCTTATTATGCAAAAATGAATGCATCTTTTCTTCCTGTTCTTAAGGGACTTTATAGATGACATAAAATTATTTTAAAAGAATAATAATGGGGCTGGACAGGTTAAGGGCACTGGCTGCTCTTCCAGAGGCCCTAGGTTTAATTTCCTGGCATCCACATGGTGGCTCACAACAGTCTGTAACTCTAGTTTTACAGGATTCCACACCCACTTCTGGCTTCCATGGACACCAGGCATGTATGTGGTGTATAAACACACATGTAAGCAATGTATCTATACCCATAAAAATAAATTTAAATAATAGAAAACCCACTGACATATGATGGTCAGGGCACAGCTTGTCATGTGGCCTTAGCTGGAAGGAGAGAAGTGTCTGCTCTGGGGTACTTCTCAGAAGAGCTAATACATAATCTGGATTTGGGACTCATTGAATTAGCAGAAGTTAGCTGCAAAGAAAATGGGAGTGTGGGGCACTCTGAGCTTGAGGGTGTGACAGGCAGTGCAGGCAGTGAGGATGAAAGTGACAGAGACACTCAGGGTCCAGGGAGCTGGGAGAAAGCAGAAACGGGGGAAGGGCAGGGGGAATCACAGGACTCAGGGAGGGTCAGTCAAGCAAAGTGTCTCCCAAGGGAATCTGAAGAAACCCAGAGGCTTTGAGAGCACAAGGTAGTGCTAGCATTTCTAAAGACTGTCCTGCAGCTGGGTGGCCATGGTAAAGGAACAGGAGTACATTCAGTATAGCATTCAGCAGAAATAGTCAGGTGTTCAGACCCTGGTGAGACCTGGGACAGCTTGGCTATTTTGTGTAAGTAAAGCAAAGGGCAGTAAAGATGCCTCCAAATTCCTGCACCAGCCACAGGACGGAGGCTAGTACTTAGAGGAGGATAAGAAGGCACAGGAGAAAGCTGGAGTAGTCAGATTTTTCTTTGGGACACCAGCTCACAAATAACGACACAGAGATTATTAATTATGAAAGCTCAGCCTTAGCTTAGGCTTGTCTCTAACTAGTTCTTATAACTTAAATTAATCCATTTTTTAAATGTACATTCTTCCATGAGGCTCGTTATCTTATCTCCATACTGTTCATCCTGCTTCCTCCACATCTCGAAATCTCTGTCTGGAAGTCCCACCTATAGTCTCCTGCCTAGCTATTGGCCATTCCGCTTTTTATTACACAATCATGGCACTACATCTTCACAACAGCTGGCAGCTTGAGCACTAGCCCAGTGTGCCTAAGAGGCTGAAGGAAGATCAGGTGGGATGTCTCAGCAGCTGCGCTCCTGAGACTCAGAAGAGCGGTCCAGACAAGGAAAACAAATGCAATATTCATCATCAAACTGTGATAGCTGGAACCACTTGTGGAAAATATGCTGCCTCAGGCTATCACATGCACAGGTGAAGTTTGTGGCCACAGTTTTTGGCCCTCATGAGCCCATGGGCCACATCCACTGCAATAACACATATTCCCACAGAGCACTGGCTTGTTGTCAATCATCTGCACAGGACTTGGCCTTTCCTCCAGCAATTGCGGGCACTCACCACTTGTCTGGAAGAGCCTTTGTGTTTCATAAGGGCCTAAGAGAGCCCATAGCTGCTCCTATGCACATACACACCCTCTCTGGGCCCCCAGCTCTTTGGATAGGCCTTACTGCAGGGCCCCACCTGAAACACCTGTGGTCACTACACATCTGTATTGCTCGGCAGTGCCAACACTTCGGGACTGTACACAACACGGCAAAGGATCCTGTCAGCACACCCCTCCCCCGTCCCCACTGAGCTGAAGCACAAGTTTTCGGAGAAATAAAGAGTGCATCCTACCTTTGCCGCATTATCTGTTGTCTCCATGTGTCTCCATGTCTCATCCTGAGTCTCACAGAAAACACATGCTTGGGCTTGGGCTTTAACCCCGTTTGTCTCATGGCTTTGGATATTAGTCTCAGGTTGAGCTTTAGGACAGACAAGAGAGTTCCCCTGTATCCACGTATTATCCTTTATAAGACTTGAGGTAAATATGGCAGACTCCAAATCAGACATTGTAAAACTGGAGATACAACACTGACAGAAAAAGAGGCTCATCTGTCTGGAGTTTGGAATTAGGGGTAGTGTGGGACTCCAAGCCCCATATGACTCTGTACAGATAGGTCTCTTGGGAGGTTTCATAGTTCTGCATATGCTACATTCACACTCGGACTTCTGGGCTAGGTGGGTCTGAACACCTGGTCCCAGGATGCACAAGCAAGCAGCAGAATTTTGGCAGAAGGGGATAAGGAGGGTCAGGTTGCAAGGTAATTAGGAAAGAGGAGGCAAGGAAAACACAAGTGGCAAATATCAGGATAGGGCAGAGGGTGGACTTGCAAGAGATAGAAGGTCAGCGTGGTTCCCAGCCAGATCTGCCCAATTCTTAGGAAAAGGAGGCTGCAGGAAGGGAAAAACCAGACAGGTGCTGAGGAGACAAAGACTCTAAAAACCAGTATGCACCTTGTGTTTATGCCCCAAGATCATGGGAACAGCAAGAGCCCTGCAGACATCTGGGCCTCAAGAGGCCTCTGGGAGGGGCTGGCATCAGGATGCCATGATGGAATAAAAAGAAGAGCAACTTTACCCCAAAACTGGAGGTGTGGGAAGCTATGGGTTGGGAGGTCTCCAGCCCAGCCAAGGACCAGTACCTCAATCATACTGCTCTGCCATGCTTCTCAGGTATGACAGCTTTGTCTGTACTATGTCTGTGGCCCTGAATCTGGTCATTTGACTGCTATTTTACCCTTTGATTTTGGTAACAATGAGCGTTACAAAGAAAAAGGCTTCCGGATGTCTATTCCTTTCTCTTGTCACAATATTCTCCCGAACCACCAACGTGATATGGCTCTAGCCTTGCCTCCTATAAGACACTCCAGTTCTAGTGTGACACTTGCTTGGAAAGGTGATTTAGTCTGATCACAGCTGTCTCTTTGAATTGCTTATCTAACTTAGCCCCTGCCTGCTGTAGTATCTAGGCTCACTGTGAAAAAACAAGTCAGGCAGGAAAACCTGATCCTCATTCTGTCTGGAGTTTGAGGTCAAGGGTTATGTGGGAATTTGTTTCCTTACCACACTGCTGTTCAAAGGTCACCAATGCTAAGGCTTTTGAGGTGAGACTGACGTATCAAAGGCATAGTTTGCCAGTCAGGTCCTGTGACAAAGTGCAGTCAGTCACAATCTATGCTGTTGAAAGGAGCGCTGTTCAGTATGGTCTCAGTACTGTCTGAACAGTACTTACTGTTCAGACAGAAGTCCAGATAACTTTGCTGCCATATTTTTTACAAGCCAAGAACCTGTTCCACTAATCACACAACAAACACCCACCTTATAGGCCAAACAAAGCAAGGGAGCATCCCACTGTGGCCAACTACCATCTCCACCCCACTTCTATGAAGTGCCAAAGCTTTTCTGAGTGATTGTGCTTACATTCTTAAAAACAACCATGTTTTCAAAAGAGAAAAAGAGTATTTGCTCTAAGAGTTCCGGGTCTCCTCCTAGAAGCTGGTCAGTGCAGTGTCTGCTATTCTTGAGGATGACTTAAGCTCCAATCCCTGCTCTTGGACATGCATTCCCAAAGGTAGAGAGGACAAAGACAGCCTGCCCTATGCTATTATGGATTAAACAGCAAGTGTGCATTCCTAGGCCTAGTAACTGGTGAGTCACACCGGAATGAATTGACTTTGGGGCTGGCCCTTTAAAACTGAATCATCCTGCTTGTTAACTCCTCCTCCAAGGAGTTTCCTTATTAAATGAGAGCTGTGGCTAAGCCACGTTTTATACCGCCTTTCGGTACCTTCAACTGAGTGGTCCTCTTGGGGAAGCTGCACCCTGTCAGCATGGCTCAGGAGTTTGTGAACTGCAAGATCCAGCCTGGGAAGGTGGTCGTGTTCATCAAGCCCACTTGCCCCTACTGCCAGAGGACCCAAGAAATCCTCAGACAACTGCCTTTCAAACCAGGGCTTCTGGAATTCGTGGATATCACAGCCACCAACAACACCAATGAAATTCAAGATTATTTACAACAGCTCACCGGGGCGAGAACAGTGAGTGTGTTCAAATGCTAAGGAAAGCTTCAAGGGCCGCTGTGTCCTTTCAGAGCTATGCAAACATCTGTGCCTTTTCTAGGTCGCCATGGCCAGCGCTCTGTCCTTCAGAGCATCCAGAGGGCTTGGCAGGGTGTGGGGGAGGGACCTGAGGGAAGACACTGGTCAGATGAGCAGGCAACAGGACTGCCTTGGAGAGTGAGACAGTGGTGTGTGGTATGGGGCCAGTGGGCCTGGCAGCTGAGCTGAAGGCAATTAACTGTCCTTTGTCTGGAGTCTTTGTCTTAAGCACTATTTTGAATTGACAGTGTTCATCTGACAAGGCAGGAAGACAAGGCAGGAGACAGCTTCGAGGCTGGGTATGACATGACCTTCAGCTTTGTTGTTAAGGGACATGGCAGGCAGCACACACACTTCTTCCCTCTGTTTGCACGTGTCTTGGAGGGGTTAGTGAGCCTTCATTTTCTTTTCTCTAGGCTTTCTTCATCACCTGGCTCCTGCATTCTCATCTAGCCCCACACTTACTAGAAAAAGAAATCCTCTACTCCCCCAGTTGCCCCTTGTGCTGCCTTAATTATAGTATATTACAGGCCTGCTGCTGTTCAGGCCTGGTAATCACAATAACTTTCCGAATGATCTGACACTTTCTTGCCTTGGAGCTCACGGGCAACCCTGGCTGCACAATTAGAGAGGCACTTCAGAGTCCTGTTCTGCAAATGCACTGTGTGATTCTCTTAGAACCTCTAATTCCCTCAGAAAAGGCTTTCTTTGTGCCTGGGCTGCTGGTGGGATGCCCAGCCTAACAGACTCTGGTGCTAGAAGGGCAAGCTTGTCTCACTGTTACTGGAGTGCGGGGGGGGGGGGGGGGGGGAAAGCAGGGGGGGGGGCGGCCCCAAAACACAAAAAACACTGGCACCCCCCCCCCCAACCCAAATAT